CCACTGCACTCCAGTCTGGGCGACAGAGTGAGACTCCAACTCAAAAAAAAAATTTTTTTTTACAAAAACCAACTGCAAGCCAGATTTGGCTGTTCTCCCCAAAATGCAAATTTGATCATTGCTGCTAAGCTTAGATTCTTAGATACTCCGTGGCTACAGAATGATGGCTAACTCGTTCTGTGGACAGGAGGCTTGCGGGCCTGGCCCGTCTCGGCCTAGCTCACCTGTTTCTATCTTGTCCCCCAGGCCCTGCACCTGAGCCAGAGAAACCAGACTGTATTCGGCTCCATCTACCTACTGTGCCTTCTTTCTGAACAGAAAGTCTAGTGCTCAAAATAGCTTTTGACTGTTTTCTCTTGGTGTTAATGTTGGCCTACATAACATCTCATACTGTTTGTTAAACAGATGTCTACTGTCAAAACATTATTCTGATGGAAAATCCAAAACCATTGACCCTCAAAACCCAGTCTGTCATTGGGCTAAAGCACCATCACTCTCTGCTAATCCTTACCCGCGCCTGATTCGTTTAGAATAAAGGGCTGGGTGAGTGAGAGGGACCTGTGTGCCAGGCCCTGGCATTGCTGTTTGCTGGCTTCTGCACCGCTCATAGAGATGGGCCTGGGGGGGCACAGTAGGAGCAAGTACTGAGTCCTGACAGCAAGTCTGAGAATAAAAACTCACAGTTTCAGGCCCTGACTGTCCTGGGTACTATGTACATGTCATCTGTTTCATTTCCCACAGTGACCAAATGAAGTAGGTGCTGTTATTTTTACCATCTTACAAAGGAAGAACCTGAGGCTTACAGAGGACAAGTTTCTTAACCAAAAATACACACTGGTGGGACTTAGAGTCTTACCGAGGAAGTCGGCCAGGGGTGCCTCACCTCACCACCATGGCTCTCAGCGCATCCTGGGCTATCCTGGCTGTGTGTATACGTGTACGTGTGTGTGTGCGCATGTGTGTGTACGTGTGTGTGTGTGTGTGTGTGTATGTGCACCACGAGTGCTGCCTCTGTTAGTCCATCATCAGCATCAGGTAGGACCACATTAGCTCAGGCTGTAAAGGTACTTTGAAGATAAGCAACTCTCCAGACAGATGGGAGAAGTTGTTTGAGTCCTATTGACATCAGAGAATCCTATTGAAAGGCTAAGTATTGAAAGACTGCTCTTAAATCAGATTTTAAAATTAATTTGGGCCAGGCATGGTGGGGCATGCCTGTAGTCCCAGTACCTTGGGAGACTGAAGCTGAAGGATTGCTTGAGGTTGAAGTTGAGGCTGCAGTGAGCTATGATCACATCACTGCGTCTAGCCTGGGCCACAGAGTGAGATCCCATCTCTAAAAAAATAAAATTGAAAATTAATTTGATAATAAAACAGGACAGAGCGTGTTGAAGAAAGGAACCGTGAGGGGAGCTGCCTCCTCTGGCTGCTGTTTACATGGTCATCAGCTACAGTAGCTGAAGTGGGAGGGGAGTGGAGGCATATCACCCCAGTGGTCAGGACACACAGCTCCCTCACAGATGCACTTGACACGAGAGCATCAAGGTCTACAAGAACAGAGGAAGAAGGTTTGTTTGATAAATGATGGTGGAGGAGCTAATTACTTTTGACCCAAAAGAATAAATTTAGATTGATTTCACTGCAATACAAAAATATTCCAGTGGGTCAAAAAGTTAATTATTAAAAATAAATTATGTATGGATTAAGGAGTTAAATACATTGCTTCTAGCTATAGACAGTCTAATAGGATAAAGCTGGATCTCCATCATCTAGAGGAAGGATACTTCCCTAAGCTTGAGAGTAAAGGTAGTAGGATTCAAGAGTGTAAAAACTGCCGGGCTCGGTGGCTCAGCCTGTAATCCCGCGCCTTTGGGAGGCTGAGGTGA